ATGCTAAGAAAGCAAACAATTTTGAATGGGGGCAAACATTAGCAAACAATTTTGAATGGGGGCAAACATTATTCAATTCAATTCAAGTTTATTTATAAAGCGCCAAATCACGACAAGAGTCGTCTCAAGGCGCTTCACATAATAAACATTCCAATTCAGGTCAGTTCATTGAGCCAATCAGAAAAAAGGTTTCCTATATAAGGAACCCAGCAAATTGCATCAAGTCACTGACTAGTGTCAGTGACTTTACTGAGGTTATTTTAGCTTTTGTGTGAAAATACACCCAGGACTTCAAATATTGACGCCATCGAACCAGAAACAGAGAAATACAGAGGAAAAATGGCTGTAAATTCAGCGAACTTCATATCCTTCCTTCAGGACAAAAGAACCATAAATACGGCCATGAGGTGAGTAGCAGCTACTCTAGGGCAGAGGAGATTATGTGGTGATGTCATATATGCGACATGCTGATGCTTGTTTTGTAGTCATGCTAATTAGGAACTTTTACAAGCTGATAAATCTCAAAAGTACGTGACTGGTGTGGTTGAAACACACTTCATTACTTTTCATTTAAATTCAAGTACAACATGTGTGTGATCCAGGGCGTGAGGCAAAGCGGATTAGAAAACAGTTCTTTTAGCCCCGTTGACTTGCACTCATTTTTTTGTTCTACCGGTTACCCATTAGCCGACCGGAAAGGGAGGAGACTTAGCTCTACCTTTAGGAGTCTTAAGAACAACTAAGCACACTGACAAGATCAAAACGTTCCTTCATCTGCTGCGGACATCTCTCACCTTCTGCAGCCTGGTGGCCTTCTCGGTGTACACCTGCAGCTCCTTCCTGAGCCGCTCGTTCTCCTGCATCAACACGTCGCTGCTGATGGAGGCTGCTGTAATGCTGGTGTGAGCCACTTGAGCAGACACATACCTGCAGAAGACAGACATGAGTAACTTATTACGCTGCAAGAGACACGCACAGAACGGCTCAACCGGAGCTCATTCCACGCGTCGACCTGTCGATTACCTGTGATGCTGAGAGTAGAAGGGGGGAGGAGGGTCTCTGTGGTACTGCACATGCTCTTCTGAGTGACTTAGCATGTATTCAGGAACTCTGACGTGGAGAGGATAGTCCGGGGGTGGTCCCCGTTGATCTGGAGACTGCTGGAGCCCCCGTCTGTCATGCTCCACAGCATTTGGAGCAGTGTTGTTGTAAAGTTGTGGATAGCTGTGTGAGGAGGTCAGAGCCAGGTCATCTCTGTGCCCGTTCCTCTCCAGCGAGAGCTGCAGGAGCCTCTCACTCAGAGAACGTGCATGTGCTCGCTTTAAATCCCACAGTCCCTCACTTTGACTCACTTCTGTATCCACTCTGGGGTTGCCCTGTTCCACCTGTCCCTTCTGAGGGATCAGGTAGAGGGAGTGGGCTTTGGCCTCCTCGTACGTGGGCAGCTCCTCTCTGTGGAGCTGATACAGATGACTTGAAGGGCTCTCGGAGTGCAGACAGTTACCCTGGTGCTCCTGTCCCTGAGGTTCCTGCCGTGTGGACATCTGCATGTACTGGGTCTCTTGGGTGAGGCTCTCTTGAGAGGTGCGGGGACTGCCCCCACCACGCAGAGTCTGCTGCTGGATAGCTAGAAGTGTGCGAGTGTCTGTCAGGTTTCCATAGCGGAGCTGCTCTTGGATGAGGCGGTGCAGGACCGTTCCCGAAGAGTCCTCAGCAGTTCTCATTTCAGTCTGGGAGACGAGCTTTAGATTACCCAAACATAAGCCTGGATGCTGCAAAAATCAAAGACCTGGTGGAAGATCAAGAGTGAGTCAGTCCTGGTGCCTTTCAATCTAAAAAATGTCCAAATGGTAATTTCTGCACCACTGAGCTAAAAGAGAGAAATCTGTGTGTTATTTTTGACCAGTCACCGTCTCTTGACAGTTAGATCATTCCATAAATATTTCCAAACCGAGGCTGGTGTCAAAAGTGAACTTCAGATGATTATTTATGCCTCAAGTTTACTGTTGTCTGGATTATTTTAATGCTCTTTTGATTTATGATTTCATGATTTTTACTAACCCTAACCAAAATTATTTCACTCTGCACATTTCAAATCACACACATCGGATGGCTTGCCATTCTAATCCGTGTAATTGTTAATACTGACTTTTGACCATATTACAAATGGACATTTTCTCCAATCAACATCACTCAAATAACACATTCCACGAGTTTTCTACAGATCACAACCACAACTGCTATAATCCTGTTGGAAATCTGAGGTTAAAACACAACAAAAAAGGATTCTACAAAGGACTTAGTGAATCCGGTCCCCTTCATTTAACTGTTAAAAATCCCAAGAGCATGGTAAGGTAAAGGCTGGGTTTGCACCTGAAGTGGATAACCAGTGCGTTTATTGCGCGCAGCGCCGACCGTCACACATCCACGCGCACACCGGACAAAACCTCCAAAAGATGAAACACTTACGCCGTTCGCGTCACATCAAGCAGGGCGAGGACAGACTCTCCTGTGAAGTTTACTCTCATAAAACGCAGAAAATATCAGCGAGTTCCTGGAGTTTCACCCTCGTGAGCGCGCGCGCGCTGACAAGGCAGCGACAGAGTAGCGCGTGAAGCTGCAGCCGCGCGGAGAGACTGAGGACTGACTGTAGGCTGCGGCAGAAACGAGAGGAATGCGCTGGCTGCGGTGAGCAGCCCCCATGGGATCAAGGGCAGGAGCGGAGAGGGAGCAGGGGGAGGAGGAGGAGTCCAGAGGAGGAGAGGAGGGGTTCGAAGAGCAGCTGGCTGCTTCTGTCATGCTAAATAAGCTGTTTCAGTTGCGGTTTAAGATATTCAGATTTTTAATTTGACTCACTCTGTGGAGGTCTGAGGAAACGCAAAACTCCAAAGTTAAATAAATGCACAGGTTTTGGTGTTGAAGGCCGATATCAATATTTGATTCTTGCACAGCTCTGACCTGTCAGACTTTGGTCGATCTCAGTTGATCTAGAAATTTTATTTAATTCCTTGTGACTGTTAAAAAGCAGAATCTGCATAGAGAATATTTAACAGTTTGAGGTTGCACACATCATTTAAACATGTTTAAAATGGTTCATAACAAAAAGTAAAAACTCCACATGAAGCATTGACCGTTACTGCATTACAAAATGTGAGAACAATAATAATTCTGAAGACATTTTAAAAGAGACTTGCCTGCTGGCACAAGATAGTGGCCATGTGTTATAGAGGTCAAATCGTGATTTTTGGATGATGGGGAGATCACCCCAACATCAGGACATACCAAGTTACCAACCTTACTGATCACTTATGAAAGGTGTAGCTATTCCTCACCACTCTTCCCACGGCTGAGCTGGTCGTTTTGATGTATAATTTGTGGGGGTGCACGCTGCCGTTCGAGCCGCTTTAACGCTGGCGAAGCAGCAGGTCCCCTAATTATGCAGGTGAAATAGAAAATGGTGCAAATTCATTTCAGTAATTCAGCTTAAAAGGTGAAACTATGAGATGGACACATTACATGCAAAACCAGATATTTCAGATCTTTATTCGTTATAATTGTGATGATCGTGGCTTACAGCTGATGAAAACCCCACATTCAGAATCTCAGACAGTAAGAATATTGTGAAAAGGTTCAATATTCCGGACTCAAAGTGTCACACTCTAATCAGCTAATTAATTCAAAACACCTGCAAAGGATTCCTGAGCCTTTAGATCAGGGGTGTCAAACATGCGGCCCGCGGGCCGAATGCGGCCCGCAAGATGGTTGTGAAAACTTTATTTTCATACTTTACAATATAGAGAGAAAATAAACTTATCTTTGTGAGCAAGTTGTCTCTGTAATGAGTATAAATGAAACAAAGCTGCACTCAAGGCTCACACAAGAACTTGAATCCCATCCTGAAGATGGCCGCCACTCAGGATGTGACTTCTGATATCGATGTGCTGGTGAAAGCTAAAAGATGTAATGCATGGAACTGATCTTGCCATGTGATCTGTAAGCTCTTTAAATCACTAAGGAATTTTTATTTATTTATTGATTTTTTTTTCAAATTTTCAAGTACACTTCAGGTTTCATATTGATTGTATTAAAACAAAGAAAACAATCTGAAGTTTTTTTTTTAATGTACTGGTCCGGCCCACTTGGGACTAGATTTCCCTCAATGTGGCCCCTGAGCTAAAATGAGTTTGACACCCCTGCTTTAGATGGTCTCTTAGTCTAAGTACAATTACTGAAATAAATGAACTTCAGCACCAGATTCAATTGTTTTGTAGTTTCACCTGTAAAATGATGCATTCTGGGAAAGTGGGGGCCATGGAAAACATCATATAATATTATATAGTTCCAAGTTCTCCTCTATGGCAGCAGAGCAACTTCGAAGGATGCTGGCTTTCTGAAACACAACAGAAGAAGAAGGAGTTTTTCTCTTTTTGAGTTGATGAGCATGCATGTATGGTACACCAGCTAAAACATCAAAACACATTGGAAATTTCAAAATTGATGTGTGTGTGTGTGTGTGTGTGTGTGTGTGTGTGTGTGTATGTGTGTGTGTGTGTGTGTGTGTGTGTGTGTGTGTGTGTGTGCGTGTGTGTGTGTGTGTGTGTGCGTGTGTGTGTGTGTGCGTGTGTGTGTGTGTGTGTTAAATTTCTAGAATCAGACACAAGTTTTATTTATTAACAAAAACGAAGATCCTTCACCGCCAAACGACGTAAAGCTGCTGAATGAATGACTTTTTAGATGCTGATGAAAGCAGCTAGCCTGGCAAGCCAGACTAAATAAATGTATTATTTATTATATTATATATTCCTTCTTCACTTGGATCTACTGTAAGTTATCCCACCCAAGTACCTGGAGTACGACGTGCTAGGTGAACACGAGTTGAGACGACATCATGTCGTGAAAATTCTGATTCTGGAATCAAAAATGTTTACAAGGATGATTTTATTATTGCTGTCATGAATTAGTGCTTAGCAATGATGAGTTCACAGACATGACCAAATGAATAAATAATATCAGATCATCGAGACATAAAGTTCTTTGGTTTTTTTGTGTTGTTGTTGTTTTTCCTGCTATACCGCCTTTTGTTTGCATGGTAAATATTTAAACCATGGCCAGTGGCAGTTAATTGCAGTGTGTGTGTGTGTGTGTGTGTGTGTGTGTGTGTGTGTGTGTGTGTGTGTGTGTGTGTGTGTGTGTGTGTGTGTGTGTGTGTGTGTGTGCGTGTGTGTGTCTGTGGACATTGTGGGAGAGGGGCGGGTGCAAGGCATGCTGCCTGCCAGCTGTCCGTGGACTCGAATCCCTGTCCCCTCCTGTAATAGGAAGCTCTGAGGGAAGCATTGTTCTCCCCGAAAAGCAGACATGACGGGGGCAGCCCTGCCATCTGCTGGTCCCCCCTCCACCACTAGCACCAGCGCTTCATTCACAATCACAACCATGCATGAGGATGGACACACTGGGATCAGCTGGCTGTGGGGGTTGGGACTTTAGTGTAAGAAAAGCATCATCCTAATGTGGGGGATAAAGGTTGTGATTGGTGTAAACAAGCCTCCACTTGTCAGTTTTACACAGTCAGTGGAAAAAAAACACTTTATTGTGAATACTGACAGGAAAATGTGCTGATTTGCATGGCAGTTGACGTCCAACCATTGCTAAAAATGCTGATTCAATTCAATTCAATTCAAAAATACTTTATTAATCCCAGAGGGAAATTGATTGCTGTAGTAGCTCAGAATAATAATAATAATCAAGTCTTCAAAGAGTTGTTGTATATTACGATGGCTGTTGGCAGGAAGGATCTCCAGTAGCGGTCGGTGTTGCAGCCAAACTGAAGAAGCCTCTGACTGAAGACACTCTTCCGTTGTCGGACAGTCTTGTGAAGAGAATGCTCAGGGTTGTCCATCATTTTCTTGATTCTCTGGAGAATCCTTCTTTGCATTGTCTCCTCCAGCGGTTCCACAGTCGTCCCCAGAACAGAACCAGCCTTTGTTATTAGGCTGTTGAGCCTTTTCAGGTCCCTGCTTCTGATGCTGCTACCCCAACAGACGATGGCTGAAGAGATTACACTCTCAACAACATACTTGTAGAAGATCTGCAGCATCTTGCTACAGACATTGAAGGACTTAAGCATCCTTAAGAAGTGCAGTCTGCTGTGTCCCTTCTTGTAAACAGCTTCGCTATTCTTTCTCCAGTCCAGTCTGTTGTCCAGGTGAACTCCAAAGTGTTTGTATTCCTCTACCACCTCCACTTCTTCTCCCATGATGGAAACAGTGTTTGACTCCACCCTGTTTCTTCTGAAGTCTAAAATCATCTCCTTTGTTTTGTTCACGTTCAAGGTCCGATGATTGTTTCCACACCATGCCACAAAGCGCTCCACCAGCTCTCTTTACTCAGCTTCCTGTCCATCTCTGATACACCCAACAACTGCAGAGTCATCTGAGTGTTTCTGTAGATGACAGGTCTCTGATTTGTACTGGAAGTCTGAGGTGTACAGGGTGAAAAGGAATGGTGAGAGTACAGTCCCCTGTGGTGCTCCAATGTTACTGATCGCCTGGTTTGATGTGCAGTTCTTCAGCCTCACAAACTGTGGTCTGTTTGTCAGCTAGTCTTTAATCCAGGCGATATTTGAGGCCCCCACCTGTGTCTTCTGGAGTTTCTGGCAAAGTACATCAGGCTGGATTGTGTTAAATGCACTGAAGAAATCAAAGAACATGACCCTCACAGTGCTGCCTGCTTTGTCCAGATGACAGTGGATTGGTTGAAGCAGCTGGATGATGGCATCTTCAACTCCAACTCCATGGCGGTAAGCAAACTGCAGCGGGTCCTGATATGTTCTAGTTTGCTTATTCAGGTGGACCAACAGGAGTCTCTCCAGGACCTTCATGATGTGGGATGTCAGGGCAACCGGTCTATAGTCGTCATTGACTGATGGGCAAGTTTTCTTTGGAACTGGAGCAAGGCAGGATGTCTTCCACAGGACCGGAACCTTCTCCTGGACCAGGCTGAGGTTGAAGAGGTGCTGCAGAATCCCACAGAGCTGCTCTGCACAGGCCTTCAGTACTCTGGGGCTGACACCATCTGGACCTGCAGCCTTGTTCCTGTTCAGTCTCTCCAGCTGCCTCTTCACCTGACTTCTAGAGACAGATAGGTGGGAGGGGGAGGTCAATGGGGCAGCAGCATCTCCTGACTTGGTTGAAGACAGATTTATAGAACCAGAAGAGTCCATGACTGCGTTAGAGGACAAAGAGCTGTCGTGTGACAGGAAAATGTTGGATCAGACGAGGATGGGATGTCTGATTGGCTGGGGACAGGCGAGGGGGACACGCTGGGTTTGTTCCTGAACTGAACCTATTGAAGAACTTGTTCAGTTCATTGGCTGTGTCCAGGCTGCCATCTGTGCAATCCTTCCTCTGCTTGAAGCCTGTGATCTTCTTCATCCCTGACCAGACATCTCTGATATTGTTCCTCTGTAGTTTGTTCTCCAGCTTCTTCCTGTATGCCTCCTTGCTGTCTCTGATCTTGATCTTCAGTTGCTTCTGTATACTCCTCAATAATTCCCCATCTCCCTCCTTAAAGGCTCTTTTTTCCTCATTTAGCAGATTCTTCAGTTCACTGGTGATCCAGGGTTTGTTATTAGCGAAGCATCTCACTGTTCTGGTGGGTATGATGTGGTCCACACAGAAGTTTATATAGTCAGTGACATATCCAGTCATGGCATTGATGTCCTCTTCATATCCTTGGCAGAGAGTCATCCAATCTGTGGTATC